TCCTGAATCCTCTCTTCAGTGATGTTGAACTGCTTAGCTCTGATGTCAAGTAACTCTTCAAGAGGCAGGTCATTCTCGAGATCCTGTATTCGCCAAGTCTTCAGGAAACTTTCTATCGGAAAAGTGGCATGTCGTCCATACCACAAGGTTGTAGGGGCATAGCATGTGGTTCTTTTGACCGTGATGTTCTCAACAAAGAACACTGTTCGTAAGAATTCTGGCCACAGGTTTGGCTTCCCAGCTGTCCACTTTGCCAGCAAATTCGTGATAGTACTGTGTTCCATTTCAACTAGTGCATTTGCTTGAGGTTGCGCCCTGGTCATATACTTGGCAATAATTCCAAGATCGTCCAGTAGCTCCTTCACTTCTCCACACGTAAACTCAGATCCCCTATCCATTGTAAATTTCACCACGAAGGGATATCGGAGGTAATACTCCTTAATGCATTTAGCCAAGACTGCTCCAGTCTTGGTCCGGATGACCTTCCCATCAACAAATCCTGTAAGATTATCTCGGACATCAAAAATATAATTATAGCCTCCAAGCCCCAATGACATTGTCAGGAGATCCAGGTGGATTACTGCCCTCACATCCTTGATGTACCTTTAATGTAGAGGTTCCTTGTATCTGATTGGAGACCTTACTTGGCAAGGGACGCACGACTCGCAGTATTCTCGAATCATTCCGTACATACCTTCCCAAAAATATAACTCGGTCACCTTTTTGATGGTAGTGACAAAACTCATGTGACCGCCTACGGGTCCATCGTGGAGAGCTGCTATGACATCGATCTGTCGATTTCTGCCACAAATGACTCTCCTAGGAGGCCCCCTTTTATCTCTGATGAAGAGATGAGCACCTCTCACTACGTAGTGGTCTCTCATGCGGAGAGTCTTCTCACTAACATCCATTTCTTGCTTATCACCGGAGAGAAGAAATCTCATTTCTAGATGAAATCTATCATATTCTTCTTCCCGAAAATCTTCCGAGATTTCACCTTGTTCAAACTCCTCTTCTTTCATCTCCTCATCATACTCAAGATCATCTCCCAATACTATCTCGTCTGTCTTTACTATCTCTCCTTCATTCTTAGCCTGAACTTGTAGGAGCGCGTTGACAAGATAGTGTACTCTCCCCATCGTCAGCAGATCCTGCTCTACCTGCCTTGTTCCTGCCTCAATTGTTATCGGATCATCAGTCAATCTGTAGCTTTCTGCCAAAGTCAATTCCTCCATCCACTCTCCATTCCTTTTTCCCCATGGGTCTTCTTCAACGAAAGGTTTCAACACCAACCCTTCGATTTTTACAAAAGTTGTCGGTGCAAACCACATGGACTTTCCTCTCCTTGCCACCTTATCACTAACACTTAGTTCCCACGAGTTCACATGAAGTTGCATATCATCTTCATCCAAAAATCCATCTACTTGTGGCGTTTCTTCCTTAGCATTTCCAGACTTTTCCCACTCTATCCTGCTTAACTCATCAGCCATGCTCTTGTTCCCTGGGATATGTTTCAACTGAAAATCGAACATCCAGATGTACGTGAGTCATCTGGCGATTGTCGGATCCGAGGGTGAAAAATTATTGAGGGAATACATAAGGGCGGTCGGATCTATTCTCAGGACAAACCTTCTCCCATAGAGGTAGTGCCTAAAGATACGCAGGCAGTGCAGCACGGCCAAAGCCTCCTTTTTGAATTGAGAGTAGTTCTGCTCATTAGTATTGAGGGTTCGGCTCTAAAAACGCAAAGGTCTTTCCTTTCCTTCAAGGTCTGACTGTATTAGAACTCCTCCCAAGGCAGTGGGTCCAGCATCAATCTCTATGATGAAGGGTCGTTCTATAACGACTTCATAATCAGGAACCCCAAGCGCTAGACCTCCTTCCTCAAACTCCTTCTTCAAACTTTTCACCACCTGTTCCTGCTTCTCTCCCCATTCTCATTCCTGATTCTTTATCACCAACTTCCTCACATGTTCAGTCTTTGCAGCAAACCTTTCGATGAAAATTCTTCAGAATCTGGACGTTCCAAGAAAACATCTTACTTCGCTGACGTTCCAGAATGGTGTAGGTCATTCAAGGATTTTATTTGTTTTCTTGGTATCTGGACGACGACCTTGCTCATTGCATACAAAACCCAATATGGTGGCCTCTCTTATGCAGTGTCGAGACTTGGCCCCGCTTGCTGTGAGGTTATATTCCTGTAACAAATCAAGCACCCTCCTGAGATCATTGACATGATCCCAGACAAACTTCCTTATGCCAGGTGCAACCTCTTGCTCATCTTTCACCATCGGGCCTTTTACAACAAGATCTTCAATGTATGGTTTAGTAATCTGCGGGCTGATTGGCTGCATAACTCTCACCATACTTCTTTGTACCATGGCTACCGCATTTGTTCATCCTTGGGGTGCCATGTTCATGTGGATCAGTCCTCTCAGAATGTGCATCACAGTTATCGGCCTATCCGTCGGGTACACTGGAAACTGGTCTATGAGCGAGAGTTGATCATCATTAGGGAGCGCTCCAACATCCCTAACTGTTACAGCATTTAACCTTTGCAAGTCTTGCACCCACCTGAGTACTCCATTCGGCTTGATGAAACAGAACCATGGTGAGGCATAAGGTCCGCTAGAAAATCCTGCCACATGAGAGCCAATTTTTTCATCAAGGTACTCTACCACCCTTCTCTGATCATCAGGATTTAGGTACCTGGCTCCTCTAATATTCCAAGGTTGATGTGAAACTGTGTGGATTCGGATCATCCTTATCTTGTCCACATCCAACCTACCTCTCTGGTCATCGTTGAAGGCATAGGCACAGTTCTTCTCCTTCATTAAGTCGATCACTAACACTTTTTCTTGCTTAGTCAAAAATTCAGGTTCGTCAATGAAGAGGTCTTTCTCATTCTCTTTGTTGATACGGCAGGATTCTGTTCCCCATTTTTCTCTCATTTGCCTTATCAATTCTCTCTCTTGCTCATAGTACACTCCTTCATGCGTTACTAGAACTGGAACTGAGTGACTTTTTTTATCTACCGTCTTGTACATCATTTTTCCCCCTTGCTTGAGCCCACCCCTACAAAATGCTAACTGTAAGCTTGGGTATACGGCCCCTGCACTTTCTCCTCTCGAGGAGGCAGTCTATATACCAATTTCATCCTCCCTCCTTCAGGATAATCATACAGTTTGTCTGCTAATGCCCGAATTGCTTAGGCTCCGCCATATCATAAGCGGACACCATGTACATGGCTTGGTCTATGTTGGTCAGACCTAATGTTAATCCTTCACCTTCTTCCTCCTCATCTTCCTCATCAGATCTCCATTCTAATTCTTTTCTCCTATTTTCGGACTCCTCAAAAGTATATGACCCAGCATTGAGCCGGTTCTTCGAGCTATGGCGACCCGTATTTTTACAAGTAATGACCTCGAAGTTCCCACAGGCAGGGTCACATAGAATCACGAACATAGTTCCATCATGCTTGTTCGTGATGAGGGCTTCTGATCGTGATAAGAAGGACCTTCCTAGTAATATGGGAAGATCCAGATTAGGCATAATGTAGAAGCAGGAGTGGACTCTAACGCTTCCTATTTCCACGATTACATTTCACGCAATACCTATGTATCCTGATTTTCCACTGGCCCCATTAAGATACCCACAATCTCTCCTGTCGATTTCCAACCCCAGTCTCTCAGCTGTTTCCGAATTCATAATGTTCATTTCAGCCCCTGTATCCACCATCCCAAAGCAACCTTTCCCTCTAATATTAACATCAATGGATCCCGTCCCTACAAATTTCCAGTCCATTTTGCTTTCGACGATTCTCCAGTTCGCCTCTTTGGGAATTAAATCCCCCAACCTTAGTACGCTGTTTTTTTCCGTGCCAACTTCGTTTTTACTAACTCTCTAAGTTTTGGTGCGTGCCAAAATCTCCTTCATATTCAACAATTCATTATGTCCATCGAGAAGCTTATTTACCAGATTTTTCAGGTCTACCCCTTCTTCAATGGACGTCTGGTACCTCCACTTTTTCTTTGACTTCTCCCCAGTCTTCTCCTTTCTCTCCTTGATATCACGTTTTTGCTTCTTAGCCCTCTGCTCAGTGTGTTTACCCTCTTCTTCCCTAAGTACTTCATCGTGATCCTCTTCTTCTTCCTCTATTACGATAGAAGCTCCTCCTTAAGGTGGCACAGGGGCTTGGGTTGGTTCCTTGGGCGCATTACCTCCCTTAGGCTTTCGCGCAGTATGAGGGACAAAGTTCCTTAAAGCCTGATAGGCAGCTTCTGATCCAGTAGCCAGAGTGGCTCTCAGTGCTATGGGGTTAGGGGCTCTCAGCTCCTCGTCCGCTTTCTCCTGACTCATGGTAAATACATGCAGGATCTTCATCTCCAAGTCTTTGACTTCCTCACAAATTCCCATCATCCTAATGTTTAACCTTCCTATCTTATCTAATAGATCTTTCATTTTTCTCATAGCTTATTTCACTGATTCTCTACTTACGTCGTCTTCTTCTGGCTCAATTTCAACCAGCGGCGTATCCTTTTCGTCCTCACTTATCTTTACCCCTTTCTTTAGTTGGTCACTTAGCTCATCAACTTCTTCTACCCAAACAAAAGGATCCTCTTTCTCTTGCCATATACGAAACATGGCAGGGGCACTGGGTCCAAGCCCTACAATCCTGATTGCCTCTTTCCTTGTGCCCCCAGGGATATTTGGGTCAATCTTGTTCCCTCGCTTATCGAATACATCCCCGTCGATGCTTGACGTGATCAACTCGTCTTGTTCATCCATCTTCCTGACACGACATCTTTTACTGTATGTCCTTTTATCGTGCAATGCGTACATATGCACTCACTGTAATATATCCAACCTCGCCCGGTCCCTTGACTGCTCCATTGGCCATTATTTCTTCCAAATCCCCTTCCGTAGTTGTGGTTGTACCCCTGACCATACCCTTGACCATAGCCTTGGTTGTATCCTTGTCCGATCTGATTAAAGCTCACCTGATTGTAGTTTCCAGACTGAGCTCCTCCTTGATTTCCCCAACTTCCTCCTTGTCCGCCATTTCCTCGTCCTCTGAATCCTCTTCCTCCATGGCCATTTCCTCGTCCTCCATTTCTACCTTTGCCATGTCCTTGTCCATGTCCCTGCCCTTGGAATTGATTTTGACCTTGATTGCCTTGTGGCGGCAGAGCATGCTGCGGATGACCTCCATCTGCTCCTCGTCCTTGCGATGGTCCTGCCCCGGCTTCCAATACTTGGGGCAAACTTGGATACATCCCAATTTGACCGAAACCCGGCCACTGATTCCCGGGGTAGTAACCAGGCCACGCTCCCATAGGAGCTACTACCGGCCAGGGCCCAACTGAGGTGTCGGGGTTGGTGCCCCTGGGACCTTTAGCATCACAATTTGCTGTGAGCTTTGCCTTTTTCCTTCTCCTTGCTTCCTTGACGTGTGGTTCTGGTTCTGCTTTTGGGTCTTTTTAGATTGTACTACCGACTAAGGTTTCTTCCCTTCATTATTCCCTTTATCTTCTCCTTCATACCTCATTTTATTCATTGTTTGTCCGACTGACATCACTTTCCCTGATTCCACCTTATCCTTCAACTCTTTCATTTGAGATATCATACTGCTTAGCACCCCTCTTAGGGCAGAGTGTGCTACTTGGATAACACCTACTTCCTTTCTTTTTCTCCTTTCCATCTTCACTTGATGGTGGAATACCTGGTCCAGATCCCCAAATGCCAAGTTTCTTTTTATCGTTTCCCATGACGTCTTCCTCCCCGGGTTAATTCCATATTTCATAGCCTGAGAATTTTCCCGAGAAGATGACACACTGCATCTCTTCAGAAAGTCCTGGAACCCGTTCTGCCATTTTCTCGAAGGCTGTTGCAAATGCTCCTATCGTAGTAAAGTCATTCTTGTTGACGTTATAAAGCTGGTCGATTGTTAATAGCCCATCTCCCAGCTTCTACTTTCTCTGCATTTCGTTCTTAAAATTGTTCCAATCTCCTTGGGCATCGGCCACCGTGACAATCTTTTCAATGTCGGGGCGAAATTCCCACCATACGTATTTAAACAGTTGGGCGGATTTTTCCGCCTGCGTCAGTCGATTGAAAACTTGTTCTAGTAGTTATAGCCAATGTGACACTCGTTCCCCTTTGAAGGGAAAAAATTATATCTGGGGCAGTTGAGACCTCTTGACATTTCTATTATCCATTAGATGCGGGATCTCGGAAGCGGTTATGATCCCCTGTCCTCCTGTCCCATTAGCGTCCCCCATTTTCTCTGCAGTTTTCAGTAAATATGTTTTGCACAAGCAAAAAACGACAGATTTTCAGATTGCTATTGACTGTCTTTTCCTTTTTCTCAAGATATCATTTAGGACTCTCTGTTCCTATACTTCTGGTTTGTTCCTTATGACTCTCATTCTCACCAATCGATACCCACTAGCCTTATGTATCCATAATTAGTACCCCCACTATGTTTTAAATGCCTGAGTCAATCTCTCTGTCATTTCGCGACAAAAATGAAATTTGCTTTGGTCATTTTCCCGAATTTCTTTTACCATTTCACCCTTCCAATCTCTTCGACGGACAACCAGTCTCCTGTCCATGAGTCATATACCATCCCGAAACATTATAGGGATACCGTCAATGCAGACCTTGATTTTTTGTTTTGCCTTAAGTTTTTTCCAATAAGTCTGCCTTGGTTCCATGAAATGGACACGGACATAGGCATTTAGTATGGATAGGATTTCCTCGAAATCCCTACTAGCCAGTTTTGGTCCCATTTCCAAATATAGGCTGTAAAGAGTCTGAGGTGTAAAAAACTCACATCCTTCTTGATGAGCCGCTCGGGGTCCCAAGGCTGCTTGCTCCACGTTTACGTGTCCTTTGAAAACTTCATCAATGATGAAGTCCGGAAGAGTGACTATTCTATAGTCGGTGGGATATACAAAATATGATGCCCACGTTGCTTCTATCATTGGTATGACCGGTCAGAATTCCCCCCAGCTTGTCTCTCGAATTTTATCCTCAAGAATTGTTCCGGTGATTTGGATGTATCGTGATAGGGGATGACTATGCCCTACCGCCAGATCCACTTCATGCATCCTCCATAAATGTGATGAAAGATATAACGTTGCTCGTACTATTATACTCTCCTGATCGAGAGTGTGTCCAATCTCAACCAATACAAACGCTGGCCCGATCGAGGTGGCCCACCATGCGGTGATCTCCTTTTTTCTTTCACTTATCCCTCTAGGTAATGACATCTTCAATCATTGTTGAGTACGAACGGGGAGTTCAACCCCGAATCCTTGATTAGCATACGACATCTCGGGGCAATCTCCGATGGTCTGAGCAATGCAAAAGAAGAGACAAAAACACACAATACCTATACGTAAGTTCTATTTGGCATCGACATATCATTACCCTATCCCTCTTTCTTAAGCCTGTCTGAGATATGAGCGTTTCTAGCCTAAAATTTTCCTTTTTTTTTTATGTCTTCCCTTTTTCTCCTCTCGGTACATTCTTTCCCCTCTGTCGACCTTAGGGCCAGCAAATGCTTCCCTTCAGTTTCCTCTTCTCCTTCTATTTGCTCCTCATACTCTTTTACCGTCTCAGCGTCCTTCCCTATCATTCTTAGAATACAAACCTTCTCTCTTCTTCTTCTATTTCACTTACCGTTATCCAATCTCCGGACCAAAAGTTATAGACCAAGCCAAACATGGCTGGAATACCATCTACGCAGACCCTCGAGCGTAACTCTTCTTTCAGTTTTTCCCAATATCCAAATCTTTCCTCCATAAAGTAAGTTAGGGCATATCCGTCTACAATGGACAAAACGTTGCTAAAGTCAAATTTAGCTAGTTCATGCCTTATCTCCAGGTACAAGCAATAAATCATATGCGGGATGGAGAAGTCATATCCTCTATTAGGTACTCTTCGTGCGGCTTTTGCGGCGAACTCCACTCTTGCTTGACCATTAAACACCTCATTGATGATGAAGTCAGGGAGTGTGGTTCTAATGTATCGGATCGGCAGAACAAAGTCTCCAGCCGGACGCATTTGGATTTCCTTTATAACCTCCTCAGTTTCTTGCCATTGGCCTCCCCGGCTCCATTTCTGTAAGTTGTAATAGATATTTTTTCCATGTTTGACTGAGACCCGTTTCATGAATATGCCATAAACGGTTATACAGAAAAATGGTGACTCTTATGCTACAACATTCTTCCGCCGTATTGCAACTTGTCTCTATTGAAACGATATTCACCAGTTATCAGTAGCTGCTGCAGATCCCAGGGTTCGATCCCTAGACCCCAACCTTACATGTGTACAATACCTGTGTCGGCCTGTAGAGTTGAACCCGAGACCTGTGGATTTGTAACAACTGATAGGTTGTCGTAGGGTGCATGGTAGCTTGGATTCAATCTGTAGACCTGTCGGATAGGAGTCTTAGTCACGTCTAGACATCGTAGTTGTAGTTTTCTTGAAAGGTCAAGGTCGTAGCTGCTACAGTCTAGAAGGGTCAGAATCGTAGCTGCTACAGTCCCGAAAGGCCAAGTCTACAGCCTTCCGGAAGGTCCCAGTTGTGGCCTTTCGGAGTTGCCCACGTTTAAGCAGAGGCAAGTGGTCAAGTGGTGAGGCAAGTGGGCAAGTGGGGGAGGTCTACCCTGCTGAGTCAACAGTCCCAGTCCATAGTCAGTCCAACAAGTACCGCACGGGACTGTGTGCACTTCGGGCAAGGGAAATGGGTCAGACCAACGACCTGCAGAAGTATAAATCAAGAGGCAACGCCCAACCATTCATTCATTCATGCGGAAGCCATGCGGAAGCGCTGCCACAACGACTTGTGCGAGGAGGTCTGAAGTGAGCCCGAAGTAGAAGAGGGCGAGAGAGACGAAGAACAGCCATAGCGATAGGGTAGGGGCAGCCATAGCTGCCATAGCTGGAGTTAGAGGGAAGTGTGTGTGGGTATGTGTGAGTGTTCAGAGTGATGCGTATGGGATATCCAGGTTGATCCAGGGTGTGAACAGTGAGTTGTTTGGGTGCTAAGTCGCCATAGCCAGTTGAAAGTGAACTCGTATCTGGAAGCCATATCTCTGAGTTCTGAGTGGCCGCATGTCGCCAGTGTGCTGTGCTGCTGTTTACACATGAAAAGTGTGAATAGGATGAGTCTGATTGCAT